TCTAAAACCATCATACCTCAATGATTCATCTCACTCACCACATAAACTCTTGGTCAATTAATAATGGAATAAAAGTCAGCCGTCTCCGCATTCCTCATGTGATATGACATGTGAGCTGCACCGAGGAGCATCCAGTTTTATCATCCCTTCTTAATCTACTATTTCTCACACACTTATGAACACATTTTCGATCTCAATCGTAAATCGTTAGTCTTTCTGGATTCCTGACATAAAAGGACATATTATCCCAAGGCAGCTTGCTCACAGAGTGACAATTTATTTTTCATGGAGGAGCAAAGTGGTTGCAAAATCTTTTACCAATATCAGGAATGAATTTGTTCATATTCATTCTCACGATATATTGAAACATATTTCCAATTTGGATGAAATTTCGTTCTTTCAACTCACCTCACTATTTACTATAGTGACAAGAGCTCGTATTCACATAGTTATATCGATGATAGATCGTATTGCGTATTCAATCTGTCCAAGATGAGGATGTTCATCATGGGGATCTCGAAAATGGTTTCTCTGAAACGAAACGTCGAATGAAAAATCTCTCGACGCTTTTTTGTAGAGCTCAGAAAGTGGCAACAAGAAAATATCTTCTGTTTTATTACATCTCTTTGATTGATGGCAGAAAAAATCAGACGAAATCTGCAAAGTTCGCTTTCTTAGGCATGCTGCTCCCGGAACTAGTCGTGGAATTTTGAAGTTTTGCAAACGGCATCGGCCTAAAAATACACTTTTAACCAAGTTCTAACCATTTCCGTATCTTTTATGAATTCCGATAACCTCAATATATACATCCCTATCTCAGAAATTCACGGTGTATGATGTATTTATTGTAATTGAATCATCAACAATTCATCAGAACGAAAAGAGATTTTTCGTTTTTGTTACGTGATTCGTGAACCCTCATTTATTGATGCCACTTTCTATATCTACAGAACAATCAGTCCAAATTGGAAGCATTTTTGTCGTAGGTGAAATGGGATATTGTGAATTGAGTATGCCCTTGTGATGCACTCCAATGCCCTGTATAGTTTATCTACTTGGAATAGTATATAAACGAAATGGATATGCCTTCAATATTTCTCGAAGTTCTTGAAATCACTTTCTGGAAAAACATCAATCACCCTCTTACTGATATGTCAATCATATGACTATTAAATTGAAAGCAGATTATTTTGAAATGAGTATATATATTTAACTCTTAGAATTATCATTATTTGATATTGAAATGCTTATTATCCAACTATCAAGTTTGAAACCAGTAATAAAGATATGACAATATTTCCATTTTGATAAAAGCATCGTATAAAATTGGAATCTCAGTCATTTCAACCCTATATGGGCGTGATTTAATTCTGATATAAGTGCTGTTTCACAGTTATATGGTTTTTTGAAATGATGAAGTTGGTCTCTAACAGCTGATTGATATTGCTCTCGGTGTATTGACAAGACGATGGGATGTCCCTTCTTGACCTGATCGCACTGTCAGTAATATCCTATTGACTACAGCAATGACTGTCATTAAGGTTGAGAAACGCGACAATTCTCGCCTATACCTGAGGTCCGGGGGGGTTAGGAAGAGATAGCAGTGGGCGGTTACAAAACAGTCATAAATCAACAAGCATCCTTTTTAGAAAAGGACAACTCACCCGGTTCGTCAATTAGTCGGGGTGATTACCGCGTCCGAATATTTATTTATATTGCCAATAATCTGCCTAGCAGATTCCTAGCGAAATCTATTCTACCTATATTCATCGGGTAATCCGGTCATAGAATCTAACTTGATAACACCTTGATTGTGTTATATCCTTGGTTATATCCATTACGTTTACATATGTTATGAAGATTTACGACACTCTTCATTGGTCGAGAGGTGTGGAAAAATTAGGATTTTAAAAGCCTCAAGCCATAGCGCTGCTTTTGAAAATCCGATCTTGAAAAACCAAGATACTATGAGTAGGCTTTAATCATTATTTTCTTGAATTTCAACTGTATCGTCAGTTAAAGTTAACTTTTCTGTTATATTATACAGGGTGATTTACGTAGGCGCAAATATCATCGACCAAATCGTGCGTATTTGTGAGAATGTAGAGCAACGGCTCTTAGACATCAATCGTTATTTCGAGCTGCTTTTTTTGTGTGGTTTGTTGACAGATAGATCTAGGTTGGATACTATTTGGAAATTGGTTATTTCATGTACACGTATTTTTTTTTATTTGCCAAATTGACTAATTTTGAGCACTTTTCGAGAACGTTTTTTCCACTCTTTCTTTAAAAATTTCGAAAAATGAGATAGTATTCAACCTAGCTTGGTCCTTTGGCTAGAGCATGAATCGAAAAAATTCTGAAAATATTGAATGGTTTCGAAATGGGAAGTCTAGAGCGAGAGCGCTGAATTTGTTATTTTGTGCGGCTCATTGCTCACTCTTTAGTGATGCTGATCTATTAAACAGAGTTGATGTCATGAGAGATGAGAATTTGTGAAATAATAACAAAATGAAGTCATTGTGATATCAAACATAGTAAAACGAAAGCAATTTTGTGTTATAGCCGTCAAAAAAAATCAGTATCTTGGTTCAGTATCTTTGAGCACAGCTGAAGTGGAATATAAAACAGCAGCAGCAGTAGCGCAAGAACTTGTGAATTGAGAGGTATATATTGTGTGAGGTCAAGAACATGGTACGGTGCTCTTTATAGAAACGGGTTGAACTCGATGATATGCGGCGATTGTTAAAAATGTTATGATGTGGATTAAGTTAGCACAAATTGAAATATTGTTGATTATTTCACCAATTCCTCATTGGAAGAGAAAATTTTGAAATTCAGTTTCAGCTGAGAATATTACAAAATAGGCGATTTCCTCGATTCATAGTACAGAGCTTTGATTTCAAAACTTACCACTTAGCCTTATGATGTGCGATGATAACAATTATGGAAAAAAATAGGTTGATTCAGATATTGAGGAGGAAATTAAATACTAGTATCTATTGAATGCTATGATCATCCCTTCAAACCCCCGCCACCTCTACTTTATAAAATTCCAAATGGCAACTTGAGATACATCAAATTGAGGCGGAAACAAAAACCAATCCGACCAGATGAATGATAATTTATTTCAATGATTCATGTTGGTGATCAACAAAAGTTAGAGAGAGCGAGTGATCTTTGACAGAGGTATTTGAAGCAATTATTCGAAAATATGCTTCAATATTTGATGCTCAATAGTACAGCCTATTCTAGAATTCTTGAAACATTTTTTGAAACGTTTTCCCATTTATTTGTCTACTTTTCGAGAAATATATCAGTTTGAGTACATCCATATTCTCTGGCTGAGTTTTATTAACCATTGTTTCCACATGTGACTCCACAAAAATTGATCTGAGGATACCTTAAATGAAAATTGACAAAATGTTTGGCTGTAATAACTGACCTAATATAACTTAATTTAATGATTATGTCCCGATATTTATGGATCGAATACTAAGATAGTTTTCCATCTGGTTGGTTATTATTGCTAGACTTTGAATTTTATATATCTCGAAGTAGGGGGTGCCATTTGGAATTCCAAAATAGGGGTGTCTGGGTGAAGAGAATGAACATAACATTCGACCGATACTGATATTTTTCTTCCCCCTTGATATCCTACGTCCGGCTACGTCTTTTTGTCGACACATGTGATTTTGTTTTTTCTCCCTTACGATAATCACCTGCCCTGGGTTTTATAGGCGGCATTTTCAATACATATAGTCACAAACACAAAAACATTTCCACACCAAATACAAAGTTCAACGTTTCTGCATAAAGCGGATCAATCTACTGACATGACGAAAATATTCAACATTGATTCATTTTACCTGGATTCGTAAACATTCAAAGGATGTTGAACATTTTTATAATGTCATCAATCATTAATGACCTACCACTATTATATTACACTCGCACTAAATACAAAATTGTAAAACCTACAAATTTCAGAAACGTATACCTGCATCCTGCATCACCCTGCATCTCAGGATGTTACGCCGTGTAAAAAACAACCCGTTCGGGGAACCACCTATACGTATTCTATTATTGTAGACGATTTTTTGCGTTTAGCGAAATTATGGGCACTTGAGGCAATGAACTCGCGTGGAATTACGCATCAGATTATTCAATAGATTTCACTTAATTGACGAAGGAACTATAAAATGATACTTCTCAAAATGTATGAAGAATAAATTATTTTTGTCTCAAAGTAATCAATACCTACTAGTTTATTTTTGAAATTTCATGAATTTATATAGGTTATTTTTGAATTTCATTATTTCTATATTTCATCAAATCACCCGAACTAAGGCTATATCGACTGCCATGTTCTTCTGATATAACTTTTACCAGAGGGCGCAAATATCATCGTGAACTTATGCCTATTTTTGAGGTTGCAGAGGATTGGCTCCTGACGCTTTGTGAAGAAACCAAGCCACATTATGATTTGATTTTTTTTCTGTAGCATATTGAAGGTTCATTCTAGGGCGGATACTATCTGAAAATCTTGAACAAGCAGTATAAATATTTTTTTTTCGTCAGCTAATAATGCTATATTCAAATACATTTTTGAAACTTTTTTTTTTCGAATTTTGAAAAATGAGATAGTATCCGCCCTAATTTGAACCTTTGTCTATATGATGGCGTTTAAAAATGTACTATATGCCAAACTGTTTTCCCATAAAGCGTCAGGAGCGAGAGCGCTGTATTCATCATTTTTCCAGTCCTATTGCCCACTCTTAACTGTTGAAAATCGAGTAAGCAATGCATGGATGACTCCTCAGTAGTAGATACTGAACTTTCATGTAATGAGGCTTTGGCAGGAGAAACGGGTCACCTCGATATTGTGTTTTATTCTAGTATAGCCACAAGCCACTAGCATGACGTGTCAGACAAAAGATCAATAAATAAACGTTCAAACAATCGACAAGTAAAATGAAGGAGATTCAAATCATACTCACGAACGCTTGCAGGAAGTCGAACTCCTCCTTGGCGATTTGTGTTTCGTTGTATTGGTTGTAGGATTTTTCTACTACTTGTCTCACTGATAACCTCAAATCTTGTGTTTCCCCAATGATGAGGAATGCATAAGCTCCTATTGCAACTTGAACGATCAAGAGAGTGAGTAGAATGATGGCAAACTACAAATGAAGAAAATCATTATGGAACATCGATTGATATTTTGTAAACGATCTACTAGGGTTCAATACAGTAAATGGATACATAGGGTTGTTTCATTCATGAAGGTACCAATTCAATTGACTTTGGTGCATACATATTCAATATTCGTCCAAAGAACGAAATAAATATAAGCCTACACCTTATTGAATTATAAAACATATGCTGGAGTTTTTCGAAGTCTCTATGTATTTTTGTATATTAGATATTCTAGATTCGATCCAATTCGAAAAAGAAAACAAATTCAACATACGCCAACCATATATTAGAAGAAAACCATGGTTTTGATGATAATTTCGAAATTCTGCACGTAGAAAATAAAGGACTGAAATTCAATCATTTTGAATCATTAGAAATCAACAGACTCAAAAATTTTGACATTCTACTCAATGATCAATTAGACCTTAATAGTTCACCACTGTTGAATTTGTTTTCTTAGTGAGTAATAATATGTATTTGATATCAACTCTTTCAAGTTAATCCGGTATACCGTAATTTCACAGGTAACTAATCCTTCAGGTTGGGTAGGTAAGATATATAAAAGTTAAGCAAGCCAACGTTAGTTCAGTTCATTGTACCAGTATATCACCTGACGAAGCTACTGTGTTAGCGAAACATGTCGTGTGTTTAATAAATGTTGTGGAAATCTTAACGTTCGTGGAGATTTTACATTTATCATGGATTTCCATCAAGTAACGGCCGAGTCAATTCAAAAAAAAAAAAGTAATATATGGTGTTGAACATGTTTGAAATCAGAATGATCTCAATACACTCATTTTATTTTTGTTGTTGTTTTTCTGTTATACGTTTCGATTCACGTCGTTTTTCAGCCTAATCATTCGGAACCTCTTGATGGACGAAATGGGTCAGCAGCATAGTAAAAGTAATAAAAAAGTTTCAAAAGTACAGTAATTTTACAAAATCTCAGTTGTCAATAGGGAGGAAGCGAATTCAACGAAGTGATGAGAGACAGGGTGTTCCATTGAAAAATTATAAATTTGTTCAGGATCTCCTGAACCATACTCGGAGAAAAATTGAATAATAAAATGGATTCTGCGCATAATTGTCTGCTATACTTAGTTCTCAGCCCAACATTATTTCTAATAACTTCGTTGATATAGAGGGGGTCAAAAAATTGGAACGTTTAAACTCGCCCTGTATCTCATGAACGATCACCGCCATCCAATATCTGAATGACATTTGGAGTTTCACAAAAAATCACAGTCAACTGTGACGTGAAACCGCAACGTAAGATTCTATTATATTGAATAACAAACGACCAACCTGGCAGTCTCTTTATCATAATGCAATTACTGCGAGAATATTTCAGTTTATATCTGTGTGAAGAATTACATGGAAGGGAGATGGCAATAACTTGAGCGTCGAACAGAGGAAAATTGTGGTGGAGAGGTTTTCAATGTTCATATGTATTCCGAAAGATCTCAGTAACCTGCAGAACAACACCCGAAATAAAGCTGGCAGATTACATCACATGACTTTTGTCCTTGACATGGTAGGAATCATGAGAATCAGCAGCAGAATTATCAAAATATGTGAAATTGCATTCTCAGCCAAGAAGGAACCTGTTGATCTAGACGGAAGACTCAGGAGATGATTATGCATTTCCATAATAAAAATACGCATCAGGGAGTGAGTGAACACGATGATGAACAAGTTGCGGTGAGAATTTTGTATTCCATAAATCCGATCTGCAGTGGAGAATATAATTAGGACTTGTTTGTATTGCAAACGTCGATATGCCAAAAAAAACAACTAATGTTGAGATTATCAGCAAAAGGAAGATTGCTCGTATATAAGAAGTCGTTCTCAGCTACTGGTTAGGACTATTTTGGCCAATTCGAAATAAATATAGGTAGAAGAATCGATTTACGCTATGGGGTTGATCACATGCCTCACAGTGAAAGAAATTCACGAGGAGAGCATATTGTCGAAGCACTGATTCTTGTATTATGGCGATAACACTATTCTCTGCTAGACGAGGAGCAATCATGAACATTTGTTCAGACAATACTAGAAGCTAGCCGTGAATTGTTGGAAAATTTTACGGAGATAGAAATGCTTCAAATCATGGACGGAATCACAAACTCGCCGAAACTCCCGAGAGAATTCCACCTCTCCTTTAATGGGTAGCAGCTGAATCAGATGATTGGTAGTTTAGAACGAACGATTGCTGCGGTCCTGAGAGACAGACATTCAATTGGTGAAGTACTGCAAACCGTTTTTGCTGAAGCTGAATATATTGTTGATGATAGCCGGCCGTCGTCACATGATTCAGATGATCCCACCGATCTAGTCAGCAGATGTCCTAATGATATTTTACTCGGCAAATTTAGTGGCATATTCACTCCAAAAATTTTCACTGAGAAATATTCATTGTTAAAAAACCAATGACGGCTATCCTGGTATCTGTTGGAAATATTTTTACGTCGTTGGCAGAAAGAATATTTCAACAATCATTAGTAGATCGGAATGGGCAGGAGGAAGACCGAATCTTAATATTGAAGAAATGGTGATTATCATTTCTATATACCTCTTGGAATGTGGCCACTGGGACAGATACGTCAAACTATAAAGAGGAAGTTGGAACTGTGCGTGTAGCAGATTAGCAAATTTCACAGGGTATTCCCAACAGAACAGCACGAAAACTTTTCTTATTGTATATCCGTATTGACAAGAATAGAGTCAACACCAGCGGAGAAGATGTTGAAAAAACTATAAAATTGCCATGGTGATATCCTCTTTTTTAGTGGTTATCATTTGTTTCCGATCATAATATGTTTATATGGGATGGATACTGATTATTCAACAACAATACCCTTTCAACTTATGTCAATTGATACATATACGCAGTTCTTTGATAGAATGATGAATAATTGAAATAAAACTCACCGTCGTCAGCATGCATGTATTATCTTTCATTGCTCCACAACATCCGAAGAAAGCTGTGAAAAATATCACAGACCCTATGGCAATCATCAATATCGGCGGTAATCCTAGATGATACTTGTCTGGAATGAAGTTTTGTATGTCATTATTCTTCATTTTCAGTAGTACGCCAACTCCAATCAAAGTAGCACCAGAAACCTGGAATGAATATACTGAATATAAATATTGTACGCGAGTCATCCGATTCGTCATAAGAATGCGGTTCGAGCGGACACTTATTCATCAACATCAGAAACAGGTCCCATTTCATAAACAGTTATCTTTTTCCAAAATATTCTGAGTGGAATAAGGAGTTGAAGTATGGAAAATGGGTCTAACTTCGATCCCTTGATCCAGAATCTAACAATATCATTTTCCATCACTATCAACCTATTGCGAATATTCCATGATTATACCATAACATCCATAGACTATTCGAGATATTCCTATCACATATTGGGAATATTCTACAGAACATTTTGGAGAAGGTATATTGGAGACTTTGTAAGAGTATCCCTGGAATATTATGTGCTGTCTGGGTGAGGAACTAATATGTACCAAGGAAGAAACAAGAGTAATTTCGATGGAACAGGGTTGACTAAGATTTGTTCACTATTGCGGTTACAGAAATGAATATACTTCCACTACTCAAGCATTTCGATCCAAGATTCTGAAGTGAACTGTAAGAAAAAGTGCAACAATGAAAATATTCCATCTGCAAAAATGTACTGTCAACATAGAGCTCGTTTGTTGAAGGCGTTTCAAAGAGATACACATGCTTCATCTTGTTCAATTTGCGACGAAGAGGAGCAAGTTCTGATATTACATTATTGGGTATGATAATTCAGAACAAGATATACTGAATATTATAGAATGACATGTCCATTAAACATTCAAGCAGTTAGGTACCTATCTAAGAGTATCCTCATTGAGTAATCAACGAATATCGCCAATGGAGAATAGCACGTTTTCGATCTTGGAAAATTATAATAGTGAGGAACTACCTATGAACAAGTAATGAGACTTTAGAAATCTAGTACCTATGTCTAGATTCCATGTCTATTTGTCTATTCACCATATGCCAGTGAAAAATATGTGGAGTCGAGTAGTACCATTTTTAGAAGGAATTACATGAATATTGAAAGATTTCAGAATGAGTAGGGTTGCTATTTGAAATTACTGTATGACTGAGTTTCAATCTCCTCATGAAGATGCATAGTTAGCAAAACACGAGTAGAGGTGTATTAATAATCGGTTTGGTTAGTGGTGAAAAAGTGTAGTGATGATTCCAGCAGCGGAGAGACATAATACTGTCTCTTCGCTGATTTCAGTTAACATATAAAGTCAAGTTTCAAGTTTATTCTCAGTAATATTATACGAAATCATTCCATATTACATTGTTCACTTTACAACCCTTTGTGGAGAGATGAATGCACCTAAGCAATTCATTTGCTTGTGTTTTGCTCTCTATCCCCTTCTAAATGCATTCGAAAGTTGCCTACGTGATAAACACATGAACGAAATTAGGAGATTTTTGCAAAATGAAAAAATATGTCTCGGTTAGGTCCAACAACTGCAGCTATTCTTCTCGAAGGGCTGTTGGGACTGCACAAAGAATTTGGATCAAGACAGAGATTAAACGTCACTACCTTCGACTAACAGACATCAATAAGAAGTTGCAATGACTCCATCTGAAGGTTTCTGCAGTCTCACACCCCTTAGAGCTTGATTCTATTTTCTCAACATTCATGGATTATGTCGTGAACCAAGGTAGGTCAAAGTTCATGATTTTAAAGAACAAACTCCACTATTTGATTTCTCTCCAAGAATCTCATCAAAACTTTAGTGTTTTCTAGCAATTTTTCAAATCACAAGTTTCGCCCTAGAATTCTCATCTTATCTTCTGTCAATTTCACAGATGCAGAAAACTCCTTTTTAGAAAATGGTTCAAAGTATGATGTTGATAGATTCAATTATGTCCCCAATTTCAAACTTTCATCCATAGAATGTGAAAGAGTCATTCAAATTTAACCTGTTTCCCAATAAGGACTTGTTAAGAAGTGATATTGCAAGGTCATTGAATAACAGTTTTTCTAAACCCTTTCCTACTCGTTCACTCCACATGTCATAATACAAAACCAACAAAAATCTTGCCAAAAAAGTGTCCACTAATGATCTAGTTGTTACAAAAGCATATATGGGTAATTGCGTAGTGTTTTCAGACAAAACAGATTATATTGAGGAAGTATCCAATTTTCTCAGCACTGATAGTTTTTATGAATCAAATGTTGACCCAACCAAACAATTTTTCAACACTTTCAAATCTACCTCGAACATTTGCATGGACACTATCACATTCTATGGCTCTTTCATGTTCAATCTCACACCAATGAATCCTTCTACCCCTCTACTATATGGACTTCCAAAAATTCATGAAGATAACATACCCATCAGACCTGTAGTTCCATATTGTAATTCCCCTTGTGCCAAATAAGCATCTTGGTTGAACTTTATAATGAAAGAATTATCAGATTACAGTAATCCTCTTTTATTAAAAAACTCTTTTGATCTTACAAACAAAATTAAGAATCTCAACATCCCCCACAACTCCATTTTTTTTATGTGGTCAATTCATTTCCTAGTGTTCCTCCAGATGATTGTATTTCGTTAGTGAGAAACCTACTTTTTGATTCTGGCATCTCAACTATTCACTCTTTCAATTTGTGCTCTCTTTTGGATATTGTATTAAAACAGAATTTTTTTCAATTCAATAACACCTTTTATTCCCAAAATTCTGGGCTTGCTATGGGTAGCAATCTCTCTCCTTCATTAGCAGGAATCTTGTTACATGATCTTGAACGAAAATTAAAAAAATTCACACTTTCCAACAGAATTTGTTTCTGGTATAGATATGTGGATGATTGTTTGGTCCTTTTTGATGGAACACTTGCGGAAGTCCACCATCTTCTTGATTTTCTGAACAAGTTACATCCTTGCATAAAATTCACAATAGAAATTGCGAGTGATAATTCACTCCCTTTCTTAGATTTATTGATCAACATTGACAATGGACAGTTCAATTTTTCTATTAATCGTTAGCCAACACATACTGATTCAGTCATTCTTTTTACTTCATGCCATCCGATATCACATAAAATAGCAGCTTTAAATTCTCTTTTTTACAGATTGTTTAGGATCCCCTTGAGTCCTCCTGACTTCAACAGAGAACACGATATTATCAAACAAATTGATCACAACAATGGATATCCACCATACCTATTAGATAGAATTTTCAACAGACATCTACAGAAATCCTTGAACCAGTCTTCAGTACCGTTGAACAACCCTCGGAAACGTTTCTTCTCAATTCCTTTTCTAGGTAAAGTCTCCAATGACATCAAAAATAATTATGTTTCTTCAATACTCTGAATGAACCAAATTATAACATATATTATCTCATGTTACGATGATCATCATGTTATTGCCTGTTCGAATATTCTGGTTCGAAGACTTTATGACAAGCGCCGAAAACCATTTTCATAGTGAATATCTACTAACGAACTTTTCCATGATCGAATTGCTCAAATTCTAGAGAAGTCAGTCGATTTATGGAATGTGATGATATATTTTATCAAAATAAGGGACACATTGATGCAGCTCTGAAAATTCTTTATTGAAAAAATTGTTGATGTCACAATCCATGAATCTCACAACATTTGTATACCTCACTTCAATGGTTCTCTTGTAACGAATAGTTCTTCTGAACAAAAATTATCATAATTGAATGAATAGGTGATATCAAGAATGGATATTGACGTCCGTACTGTATAGGCAGCGTATTTTATCACAAATCCTTCTTGAAACGTTAGACAGTAATACCACCAAAAACTGCTGTCTTCATACGACTTATCTCCATCGAACATGATCCCATTTCAACTCTTGTTTCTGTTTAGCATTATGTTCAGACTTTTCGATTGTTAAAATGCACATTATGGACGATGGATTGAAGTTATTCATGCCTGATATAGCTGACCTCGTATTGGAATCGATAGATCGTAATGAAATATGTATATATAAGAGAAATATATGATTCTGATATCTGTTGGATAGCTACGAAGTATCGATCGGACATTTACCAGCTCATTATTTTCATTATTTATGTTCCTTGTATTCGACCATCATCATTCCTTCTAGAGAAATTTCACAAGGTATCTTGAAATAATCACCTCACTAGGGTTCTAACAAATTCAGTATATCGGTCAGTATTCAAGGTAAAATTTCATTTCTCCCTTTTCATTTCTTGGAGCGCACGAAAGGAAATTCCTATATTGTTCTTAGAACATCATGCGTGCCTAGGGAGGATAGGAAGAGGAGGTAGGTGTTGGATGTTTTGATTAACTCTTGGAGGTCATAGGTTCTTGGGAATACTTCCATTAGCAAAGAATGCCAAAGCTTCGCCGTTCTTTTGAAGAACGAGTTTTGGAAGAGTGTTGTTCGACATCTTTCGAGGTTAACGACGGAAGGATGTATTGACTTCGTGTTTCAAGTTCATCTGACTCGTATTGTGAGTAATGGAATCATAGCAGAGATTTCTGAGGAAGTATCTATAAGAAAGTGGGAGGTCACCGACTTCTCTACAGTGTTCTATTATATAAAAATATTTCTGTGTTGTCCATAATATCCACATCTCTTATATCCTGAAAGAGCTCACCGGCTCTGCTGGGCGAAACAGAAATACAGTGATCTAATATTACAAGACCGTTTGCCATAGCTGGCAAGACTCGAATGTCTCAGTTGCATCGATGTAGTTGAGGAAGCCGACGTATTAGAACCACTTCCTGATATAACAACGATAAGCATAATTCAAGATCACTTGAGACAAGAACCATCATACGAAAAACTCAATCGATACTTGATTCAATTATGAGTTGTGTTGCCAATGGTTTTATGGAAATATTCCGATTCTTGACGAAGCGGTTTGAACTCCCATGAGTGTGTTTCTTCGAAAAATAATTAAATATTTCCCGAATCCGAATCCATTTCGAATTCATTTGCTCTCGAAACTGTATTTTCTTCGTTGCAACCTTCTCTTCCTCTCTCTTGCAGTATGGAGTAGATGATTCGATACCATATCGAAAGGAATCCCTAGGGTAGGTAGTGTGAAATCACGTCAGATACATGGAGGC